GGCGCGGAATCATGCTGCTGTCCACCTCATGCAAAATATAAGGCGGCATCATCCTGAAGAGACTAAAAGGTGATCTGGATTCGAAATTACGACCCCAACAGACTGGTTGGCTCTCTCCAGGAAGAACAAATCATATGCGGATCAAATCGCAACACTACGCTACGCATCATCATAGAACAGAGCATAGAATGGAAGTCAACTCTCTATCTCACCCCAACTTCATCCACTTTACAAAGGCCTTCGATCGAGGCGTCGACCGACAAGTAATTTGACAGGCAGCTGCTTCAACACTACGCTTTGCCTGCCACAAATCTTTATCAAACTCATTCAACAACCATATGACGACGCCACATGCCAAGTGATTCACAATGGAAAGAAAGCTGAGTGACGCCTTTGAAGTGAACACAGGTTGACAGGTAGGACAAGGTTGCCGCCTACTATCACCGATCGTCTTCCTGATTGTGGTCGACTGGACTAGACTGGACCAGACTGGATCATGCAACAAACAACTGTGAGGAGCTGTGAGCCGAAATGGACATACGCTGATTGACAGATGAAAGTACCATCGAAGAGGATTTGGATTTCGCCAACGATGATGATTTATGTCTAATGTCCTGTCACACAAACTCGAAGATCTACAGGTGAAAACTAACAAGTTGGCAGAAGAGGTGAGACAGCGAAGACGGGACTTCCTTCAGATGAACGTGGAGAAGACATAGGTGATGAAGATACTCAACCAACAACAGCATCAACAACAACAATCGACGATCACCATCAACGAGAGAAACCCAAAGGAAGTGGTGTCTTCACCTACCTAGACTGGGCAGCATTGTTTCAACTACAGGCAGCAGCGATGGCGGTGGCGGTGGCGGCACGGATGAAGATGTCAAATTCGGGATCGGAAGACAGCAAGGGAGGCCTTCATTAACCTGGAATCAGTGTGCAGATCTGCTGCACTACACTGCACTCAACTCAGCATAAAGCGTGAACAAGATCCGGACTTTCAACACTAATATCAGTCGCGACAGTGCTTCTATGTGATGGTTCAGTGACTTGGCGGCACGTTACGAAAAGCATTTGCAACAAACTGGAGACATACATCATCAACAGCTGCCTCCCACGCTCACCGACACTAAAGATCAGATCAGATGACCAGAAAGATTTAGTGACAAAGTCACTGTGGGTGGCACCGAACCAACGAAGCAAGAAGTCATCGCCCAACAAATATGTAAAAGAAAGTGCAGATGGATTGGATTGGACAAAGGCTGAGAAGACCATTTGGGGACACCACGCACCCGGCCAGGTTGTCGAGTGGAATTCAAATGGTAAACGACGAGTTGGGTGTCCTATTTGAGGGTGACATTGTGGAGATGGTGCGAGGGAGAAATGAAAGCTTGTGGTCAGTGGTGAAGTTAGGTTGAAAAGACTGCAGAGAAGAGAGTGCAATGGAGACGTGCTACTGAAGCCGTATATTTCACTAGGAACCCATGGGACAAATCATAATAATATGTGAAATCTCTTGTTATCCTATTCGCCCATTCTTCATCGTTATTTGTGGCTTTACCGTAACATTCGTGTGCCCTTTGTAACGGTTTGAACAATTTCCAAACACGAATAGGATATGCTGATTTCACGTAAAGCGGATGCATAGTACAATAGAAAGTTTTCCTGAATTCTCTCCGCTTATGTATGAATAAATCTATGTTCATATCTTGAATGCAACTTCAGTATGGTTATCTCAAGTTGATAAAACTGAAAATTTCAGATAGATTTATACTACTGATTAGTAAGTAATTTTATTTAATAAAAATAAAAGCGGAAAATGTATTGAATATCAAATAAGAAATTAAATATCAAGATTAGATATTCCAAATTTCTACTTAGTGTTTTGAGACGAGATACTAAGGTTATGAAGATTGTTCATCATTGTTATTTGAAGTCCATGTAATCTTTGTTTATTGAAGTTAACTACCCGATAAGTTTCAAATCAGCATGTTTCCTGCAGCATTTGACACTTGAAAGGCCAAACGAGTAATTATCATTTTAAAGATTGAATGTGCACGAAAATATACTTTTTTTTAATACACACTTTCTAACGTGTAATATGCAGCTGATAATATTAGGAAGAAATTGTATCCGATTTTGCCAGCAAAACGTCAGTAGGCTAAGCCGATATCTTATTCGTCGTATCTTCATAAATCATAGAAATAGATCATAGAATTGACCCTGAAACAACCTTTAGACCATTATGTAGGAGTTTCCAGAGGTTTATAATTAGTTTCATTGAAGACTTGACCATATGGAAGTTCAAACGCTTTGTCAGTATTCAGAAACAATTCTTCATTAAGCCTGTTAATCTTCATCTCATTTTGAGACCAAGGGAAGTGTGATTAAGTTTTACTGCTGCCTACTATTCCTGACATTTTCAAAATCTTAGATTATCTGAAGTTATTTAACTTATTTCACTCTATCTTCACCCCTCATATAAAATGACTTGACAAGTAAATGTATGACCAGGTTGTTCGAAATGTACTACGTAAATACTTCACATTTTTCAAATAATATCCATCTTGTTATTACATCATGTAAATTCATAAAAGGGAATAACTGTTTCCTATCTTATATAAACTAACACTTTCATCCACGTTGCGAACATCTGTGAACCAAGAACGACGAAAAAGGAATGACAACATAAGTTCACCTTATTTGAACATATTCTAAAGATCCAGAGAGGCAATAGTAACAAGTAAGGTAAAACTTTGCAGTAAGATTAAAGAATAGACAGTTGGAAGACTAATGTCTACGCTTGTTGCAAATACTTTTACCTCTACATAACTATTATATTCTATATTCAGCAATGAATGATTCGACTACACAGCTTACAAATTTCAAAGTTTTTTTTCGTAGAAAGTATATAAAGCTGCAAAATCAATTCAAATTAGTGTAAATTCATCAACTATCTTGATATCCCTAAAATAATATTCACAATAAATTTCGTGCTGTTATGATTCTTTGTTTTTATTCGTTATTTCAGTTACCCCTTTTGTTTTCATTGCTGTATTCATCCAAGTATCTCATGTATGAAGCTTTCAGACCAGTTTTTTAGCGCCCATTGTTTTCTGAAACCAGGTAGGCATTATGTTTTTGAACAGCGGACACTTTCAAATCCATTTCATTAAAACAGTCAGACATTTACTCAAAAATACTATATCAAGCAGATGATAAGAATCTCGTGGAATATATATGGAGATGAGATGGTATTCTGTACCATTTGTTGTTCGTAAACTGGTGTCCATTATAAATGAAGTCTGCACATCATAATTTCGAAATTTCGAAGAATCGCACATCTGAAATAATGTTAAGTTTGTTTCATAACCCTTATGTCCATTGACTTAGCTTGCATTTAAAAATATATACAACAAGTACTTACACCTAGTCAAAGAGTTCAGTGTAAGACAGAATACACATCCTGGCTTCCACTATCAGTTGCTAATTTGTACTAACCCATAGATAAGGTGTAAGCTACAGTGGCACCTTCTCTTGTGATGTAGTACAATGTTAGCTAATTGATGACCAGTTGACCTATTGGTTAACTCCTTATGTCTAGCACAATATAACGCTCAGTGATACGTTAAGTGAAAAACGTCAATGATTGGAGATTGAAAATAAAGGTAGAAAATGATAACATTTATATCCAACACCATATAGAATGAAATTAAGAAGGCAACTGGGTAAATCAAAACGGATGAGAATGAAATCGCGTACTGCAGAAAAGTCTTCCGTGACGAAAACAGAAGTTGTCTATTGCTCTTCTTTTTCCACCACTATCCACCTTATAGAAAAGTTAAAATCTTACGTAACCCTTTTTCTTATCATTCGACCTTTACGTCATCAACTAGCAACATTATTATAACCACTATTATTTCAACCCTTATTATATAAGTTAAACCTTCCTCATGGATTACAGTCTTTAAATATCACATATATACGAATGTATATATCTTGTTTCCGAATCCATATTCCCTTTCAGCTTCACCTATCAGTTGTATATAGTAGCTAGTTTAATGACTGCATAACGTGGACGCTATTACAAAGATGAGTCCTTCGACTGCCAAATCTCTTAGGCATCATTACCTCTATGTCCTCATTGATCATATTTTGTAGATGTAAATCATAACCTAGCTTGTTTCAGCTAATCAATTGTTGGAATTCCACTTACTAGTGTCTACTGAAGACAGAAAGGAAGACCATCATCCACGTTATAATTAAGTAAATAATGTACAGAATAAAAAATCAACGATTTACAACTGTCCTTCAGATTATCATAACCTATCGAGTGAAACAGAAATATCTCTAACAAATTCACTAGTTTAATCCAGCCGGAAACAGCTTAAAACATTTCATTTCGCTGGACAAAATTCTTTTAGTGTTATTGCTTGTACTCTTAACCATATAGTAATGATGGATAGTGGCTAGCAGTGGAATCCAGGATGCGCATTTAGTCCTATTTGGGACTCGCCAGCTGAATGTACAAGGAGTGGCTATCGTGGCTCGGTGGTGTAGTGGATGACGCTTTCGCATTTGAAGCGATCGCTCCCGAGCCTGAGTCCCGGTGGAAACAACATCACTCACAGGGAGGCGGGTACACCCAGCTGACGAGTCCCAAGTAGGACGAAACGTGTATCTTGGATCCCACTGCTAGCCACTAACCATCATTACTATATAGTTAGAATTCTCTCAGTGTAAAAAAAGAAAGAAATTTTTATTAACCATCTTGCATTAAAACGTTATGTACAGATAGACGTATACAGTTCATTTTATTACAAAGCTTTATTGCTACAAAATATTTTTTTAGTACATCAGTTTACAAAATTGTGAAATAAAATACCTTTTCTTAAAGAACAATGCGACTTTTTTTAAAAATACCTCCATAAATGTGCAGTACACTTCTAAACAAAAACGTTCAATGACCAATATTGAAAACAATAATGCTGAATATTTTAACGATGCACAAAAGCACCTGGAGAAGGAAGATAACGAAGAGGTCGACTTCTAGTTGGATATCTGTCCAACAAAATAGGAAAGAAAAAATAATTACAAACTGCAGGGATTGCTTTGGCTAGAAATTTTAAAAAGAATATTGAATCTCTGCAGAAATAAATTCGACCATAAAAACAGTAAACTATGACGGCAAATAACAAATGAACTGATGCCATTTCTAGTGAAAGATATATAACCAACATGCTATCAGCAAACATCAAACTCTAACCACTCAGATTGATGAAAGTTTTAAAAAGCGAGCTTTCAAATAACAAACTGTATAGTAGTAAAGTACTTTTTACAGGTAAGTTTATCTTAAAGAAGGAAGGTAGTTCACCCAATTACCAAGGGTTTTTGGAACTAACCACAATCTGCATGCTTCGCTAAACTAATTATTTTTAAAGGCATTGTTTTTTTTCTTTCTGGAGTCTCAGTGCCTAAACAACTGAATCATCGTAGGGTCAGCACAATAGCATATAACACCATTATCCAGTAAGCAGGAAGACAATCAGATTACAAATGTTTCTTCTTATAGTGGTATCTCCCGATTTCTGATCCCTAACTAGCCAAAACTTCATACTGAAACTAGCTTCCGGCAATGACCCATTAAAAAACAGTTCCCATATGACAAATATATACATAACCCACAGTCTAACATGCAAAGCCTTACAATTCATTTTTATGCCCCATAGTTTACAAAACTTGTTGATTTTATGCTCTGATAGCACAGAGCGAAAATCCCGTTTGACAGTCAAAAGTTAGGTTTTTTATCAACAGACAATAGCAAAGGCGTACTAGCAAACTGGAAAGCAATCGAACTTCTCCCTCACATCTAAATCCTTACTGTTCACCGTTGGGTACTATCGTCTGGTCATTTTTATCGTAGCTAACACTGTGACAGTATGATGATATCATAAAGACTGGCAATCAGATAATGACTAAGTCAATATTACAAACCTTAGTAACGTTGAAGTCTAACATCCCACTGTATACATCAAGTACAGGTAGACACAAATCAATGGAATATTATTTTATGTAGAGAAGCCTTATGGAAGTTATAAATAACTATGTTTCAGCTTTCGAAAGTAATATCTGTGCTGTTCATGCATAACTTTTAAAACAATTAGTTCCCTTCATAAACTTTGACAAAACAATCAAAAAGCGTAAACTGTCTGAACCATGTAATGTATTTGCGCAACATATTTCAAACAATCTGATCACACACGTACTTATCATATGGTGAGAATATCAGAAGAGGTTAAGTAGGAAGCCTGAATTAAAGGCCAAATAACAATGAAAATCAATACAGTTGAATTCACCAAGGACGATTCAATGTAATAACAAATTGGGTTTTGAAAACACAAAAATGGTCTAAATTTCCTAATAGCTAAGGCCACAACAAATGTAAGGATCCGTCTAAAGGAAGCGACCACGTCAATCCTGTAACCTGCCTTAACGATATGTTTCGCGATCGAAGAACTTGGACGTCTGCTTACCAACTTTTATGGGTTCAGGTGATTCAATTTGCTTCTGAAGCCACTTTGGAATATGCTTCGAGGCCTTTGCATGCATCTATGAGTAATCCCTATGTCACCACACGTACATTTGAACTGGTAGATACAGTGGGATGTGACAATGTCGTTCACATGCTGTAAGCGTTTAGGAGAGTATACAGGCTTGGCAGTTTCTATTAGTCGAACTCTAACTGCATAGTAAGTCCTTCTAACAGCAACTTAAGGATTTCCCTACGAAAGTCACTTTTGTACAGGAGACTAATGAAGACATCTTTTTTCGGGAGACAGTGAAGAGCAATTTTTGGCACTCTGGCTACTTTCTACCGGCTAATAAATTTTGGTCGGTAATTATTTTCCAAGTGTTTCAATCAATGTTCTTCTCTTGTCTTCCAAAGTATCATCTGCGCATATTCGCTGAATTCGATTGAATAAGTACCTAACTAAGCCTCGCTTGTACTGAACTAGACAATGTTAGTTCAGATATTGCCCTTGTACAAGTAGGTTTTCTGTTAACAGATCGTTTTATGGACCCATCCTCCCTCCGACTAATTAATACACCCAAGAAAGGCAATCAATCATCGTCATCTTCTACATATGTCAAGGATACGCTCCTCTGCACTTCATTCAATCGGTTTAGAATTGAAGTAAACTGACCACATAAACTCACACATAATTAGGATATCGTCAACATATTTTCAATACAGATAGGCTTTCTCAATTAGATTCTCCACTACGTTTTCCACATGTGACAATAACAGGGGGTTCCAAGGGACTTCTCATGGAAACGCCATCAAAGTGACAGAAAAGTTCACCCTCGAATGTAAATACTGGTCCCTTTAGACCTATTTACAAAACGTGTTGGGGATGGATCCTTAAATTTATCAAGCTATTAGCTATTAGGAAGTTTCACCCATCTTTGTGAGTTCAAAACCCAGTTTGTTATCACACTGAATCGCCTTTGATGAATTCAACTCTGAAACTAAGCCCCATTTCTAAACAAAATAGTAAAAAGTGAAATAAAAATACCTAAAGTTGCATATATATATATATATATATATATATATATATATATATATATATATATATATATATACGAAACCCTATTATCGGTATACTCTATTTCTTTTCACTTATAATCTGTTATGAAATCGAAGACAAAACTTCTAATAACTGTACTGAAACGAATATTCCCACAGTTCCTCCTGTTACACTAATCATCTACATATAAGCCTACATTGAAGAATCCTAACCTGGAATTTCAGTTTGACATTTTCCCATCGAATTTATGCAAACCTTTATATTTATGTCAGGTTCATATTAGGGTGTACGAATGAATTTACATGCAAATAAGACAAATCCAATGGTAATTTATCATAAAATTTGACAGAAAAAAGTGTCCCAGGTGATCAAGTGTATAAGGATAATTGGTCTAGGCATATGACTTCCGATTGATAAGTCACCGGTACAGCCAGGTAGTACCCATTAACCCACACATAATAGCAGATGCATACCGCTTATTGTACGAGTATGTATATAGTTGCTGAGTGCATTTCTTCTTCTGCATGAAGCAAATCTTACAACTCAATGACAGTCAACTATAAAATCACATATTGGTTCCCATCAGATTCTAATCATTGAATGACATTGACAATAAAGACTTCAAAGTGATTATCAAGTCTTATTGCAAGTGATCAGACTCACTTTTTTAGTCTTTATATTGAATTAGTTATTTTACCGTCGTTTTATCATCGTTACTAAATTTTTTTGTTTTAAAATAGTGATGGCACAAGCACCAAACAAATGGACACTGGTACGAGCCTTAAAAATTGTTAAAAACGCCAGTGTAAGATATACACCGTTGGTTCAGGATAGAATTTGAAGTTACAAACAAACGCATCACACCTTATAATAATTTACTTGGCTGTGGCTGGTAGGAGAATCCAGGATGCGAGTTACGTTCAGTTTGGGATTCGTCAGCTGGAACTACCTACATCCTAATGAGTGATGTCCCCATTGAGATTCGAACCTCGTACCCATCGAGGATATCGTGCCTCAGTGACCTAGTGGATAACGATTCGACATTTGAAGCAATGCGTACGAGGTTCGAGTCCCAGTAGAAACAACATCACTCAATGGGGGGCAGGTACATCCACCTGACGAGTAGGTCCCAAATAAGCCGAAACACGCGTCCTGCATCACAATAAATATGCAGGCAATATCGAGGCATTCGCGTAGGAACCTCCATATGCCGATAAAGGTCGAACAATCCGATCCAGTATAGCAACAGAGAATTACGAGCATATCAACAAACTGTTATCATTATTCAGTATGTGGAGTTACGCAAGAGGGGAAAGACACCTTCAGCTTACCTAACAGTGCGAACAGATGAATTGTTCAGCGATTTTAATGAATTCTTCCACAACACTTGATCACGACATAAAGCATCAATGCAAGCAGCGCATCGAGCTAACTGGCAGGATAATATATTACGACGCCATTTATTCAATTCAGTACACTGATTACTGTCATTCACTAGTAAATTAGAAGTTATATTATTTTCACTGTTGATAGTAGCGTTGCCAGTAAAATTTGTAACAGTAACATTACAACTGTCACCATTATTATTACTGTTGGCATGATTGACAATTGCCTGGCCAACATTTTGATCCAAAGACGAGGTGAAGAATTCATGCCAATAACAATTTACTTCTGTTTCTAATTCCTGGAATTCAAATTCAAAATAAGTAAGTAGGTAAAAAAAAACCCTTTTAAAGAAAAACCTAGAAGTATCAGTCTGGTAATGGTACTCTCACATATTGCATCAAATTTTCCACCATTTCGTTTTTTTGAATCCTATTATTATGTCTTTTGACCCCAAAGTTTATTTACGCAAAGTTTAAAAAGGTTTACAACGTACTGCGATGCTTTTATTAAATAAGACGAGAAAAAAACATCATGGTGGGTGGTAACCTGCATTGAAGAGAATAACCTTATCTCAAATGATTTTACCTGGAATTCTGAGCGCAAAGTCCAGGTTCTTGTAGGGGAAAGTGGACTACTTACAATCTCTTTTATCCTCCAAGGTGTACCGTAATGCTGAAGTAACGACATTACATGTTCTCTATGATGACAATTCGATTTCTTTTAATGATTCCAAAGCAGTTCATCAAAATCGAAGTAGCTCTACTAAGAAAAGTGGAGGTGGTGTAGCTACCCTTCATCAATAAGCACTGAAGCATTTGGAGTTACATATGAGTCCAATTCTCCAATGATTACATCAACTCCATCACTGTCAAATGCCACCCAAAACAATTGGACAAATATTGATTTATTTGTATCATAAATATATATTTGACGTCCGGTCGCGGTTACTTCGAATAACCTGGTTCCTATGATGTATTCACGGAATTCGAAGCCCCTATACTCCACGGTTACCTGTCGATAATAGGTGGTGATTTTAATTCTTACGATCACAGACTTTTTGAAACTCTTAGTTATCAAAACCTTGTTAATTTCACAACACGTTAGGATCCAACACTAGATTTCGTATTCGTCAATGACAGTGATATATACGAAACTCGAAAGAGAGCTCAACCCAGATCACCATATTAGACGTATTTTGCCTAAAATATATGGCAAACTACTCAAAAGAGCCTTCACATACCAGTTATAAGAAAATAGTACACAAAAAGTATTCACAAAATAACATAACTCAATTAAGAGGAATGTTAAAAGGTACACAATGGAATATATTTGTCAGCGGTGTTTTGAACAATAATCTCGATGGAGTGATATGCTATCTCAAGTTTTGTCCAGATATTTGTTGCCTGAATTTAGAACTATTTCTACACTTCGATAGCACATCTTTTCCTCAAATTGAAATGTTAAGAAGAGAAAAAGAAAGGCTACATGAAGCAAATTATAACGCTACTGCTCTTTGACTGAACGTTTCAATTAGGTTAGAAATTAAACATTTGAGTCTACTACGTAACCAGGAACTTTTGTCATGCAAAGGCCCTTCTAGCATACGGAAACTTCGTAAAGGCCTCGCTGAAAGTAAACACCTTAGTAAAGAAGCATATGTTGATATCCTTGCCTTAAAAAATCGTTTATACACCAATCTAACTATTCCATTCCACTCTGTTCACCCAGGTTCAATGAAGAACTTTGTTCAAAGTTCACCGAAAAAGATGTTTTCAGTTGTCTCAAATCCTTGAATCTCTACACACAGTTTGGATCCAGATGGAATGTCAAGTTTCATATTCACGGAATGTGCCGACATATTACGCCATCCAATAACACGTTTGATAAATCGTTTTCAGAAACCACTGTACCAGCTGCCTGGAAAGATATTGAGATACTCCCAGTACCTAAGTGGGTGACTACAGGCTCATGTTTGAAATTCCGTCAGATTGCAGTTACTCCTCTATTCTTGAGAATAATGGAGAAGCTAAAAACACCTGTGTTTGAACTCTCATTAAACGTATTTGGGGATCCTAATCAATTTGCATACAAAAGCAAAAGAAGCATTCTCGATAACACCACCGTCTTACATTACAATACTGCTAGTAGTCTCGATGGAAATGCCAAGTATATCCAGTGTGCCTTTTTAGAATATATTTCAGCATCTGACTCTCTCCCAAGACATCTTTTGCCAAACAAGCTGGCCGGGACAAATGCTAGGTTCCGGATGATTAACTGGCTGTATTCCTATTTCTCTGATGGGAAACAATATACCGTTCACAGAAGGAAGCGTTCAATCTCTGAGGCTGGTGTTTCCCAAGGCACCGTTTTTTCCCAGATCTTTTCTCTTCCTTTCCGTATTACTTGCCATTTTCAGCTAGTATCAATTTTATCAAATATGCTGATGACCTGACAGCTTCCATACCCGTCTCCTCTTCAAAAGATTGTCCCCAACTAGACGATTTCCTATCTACTGTTAGACGATGGTCCTTCATGAATGAGCTCGTGCTTAATTCTTCAAAATGTTAGACTATAAACTTTGGTTTCACGCTTAATAATTATAAATCCAAGAAAATATACGAAAAACAACAGTCAATACAGAGCATACAATTAAATTACTTTAATATTGAAACAGTCAAACCAATGTAAATTCTTGAAGGTGAAATAGTTCTTCAAACAAACCAATGTCAACAGAATAAACAAGATATAAGGAGATAATGATATCAAGGAAATACATCAATTATAATATAAACTATCAATGTTATCAGCAATGAGTGATATTCAACTCAAATAGGTTGAAAACAGAAAATACCTGTATATGAAGATCAGATAGATCAGTTACAATATCCTCTGTATTTCGTGAACCAACGGAGCCAGCATAAGTGATTAACCCATCCATAATTAACAATGGTGCTCTATGAGGATACTGCGGTGGGATGCAAACCCACACAATGACAAAAGCTTCAAAGGGGAATATAAGTAATATGTAGAAAATGTAAACTGATGATATATTTCATAAATTATTAAGAAATATGAACTATTCCATTCAGTTCACCAGTGAACGTTTACAACTCATGTCTTGTTGTACACATACCATTTATCACTTTCTAAGTTTAAACTTCCATGGGCAGTGAACGCAAAATGACACCTATATTGATTACGGAAACTAAAGTCACAAAAATAAATCGCTTAATCAAAGATAACCCCAATTTAGTAACTAAATGCATAACCAATTTCTCAGGCTATGAACAAAAACAATCTTACTACAGCTGTCGCAAACCAAACCAACAAAATGAGTTCCATGCTGTTATTCGTAAACCAAGAATCGAGTGTTTAAACAGTAGTAATCATCACATCAACTCTTAGTCAAGTTCTTTGGTAATTTCACACAAGAATTTGAGGATTTACAATAAAATGAAAACCTCAATCACTAAGAGATTTGAACTATCAGTCTGGAGATCTATCAAGATTCAGTTGCTAACCAGATCATTAATTTCTCTTCAGTCATCGATAAATCTAGCTAGCAGTTGGCTTTTGTAGTTCATTCGATAAAATCCTAAGCGATTTATTCTCAAGCTTTTCACTTCGAATGCCACCATAATCCACGCTTACATTTTAACTGTGTTCACCATAGTCTTACATTAGGGAGAGTTAGTCGTTTAAGACTATTCAAGATGCTAGAAAGAACAGTAATTTCGTCCAGAAAATAAGACGAAAAATAAACATCATCTCCAATCATATGACATAACCATTTAAAAAACTTAGGCACGTGATAACAACATAAGAATAAAGTCAAAAATAACTTCATTTTCTACTATTTTCCTTATGCAACCTTAATCTCTGTAAATCTCACTGCGTATGAATGGATATGAGAGATAATGGGGTATAATTCCAAGCATAACTACAACAAGTTTGATCAAAAAAAAACCTTGTCAATAGGTATATAATCAACGACTTGTACAAAATATAACACCTAAACTTAGATTTTCTTATGTGTTCGTCAAACAAGAAATTATATATAAGCATCAACTAACACAGTACCATTAGCCCTAACCGATAGAGACAAAATTAATATTGGATTTATCCCATATTCTCTTTCAGAAACACCAAATAGAGACAGACAGAGACAGTATAAAATAAACGCACAATCTCGCACACAACTGCAACGGTTCACGTTCCCACACTACACAGTAACATGCGAAGAATAGATGGATAGAAAAAGATTGATATCAAAGTAAACAAAGTTGTGTGGGAGAATAAACGATTTGAAGATAAAAGTTAGTGCAAACGTTCAAGCTTCAGAAGACATCAAATAGTGAATGCATCTTCCCCACAGTGATTGATCTTCCACCACGTTCTCAATCAATTATTCATTTCACCTCGAAAACATCAACCAGACAGTCAATATCTCCCCCACATGGCTCAAAACAACAGTCGGATACTTCATAGATTGGTGCCGTATCTTGGTCTGGCTACTCTGAACCTTCTTCCAACCTAAACCAACTTACGCTAGTATATAAAATATTCGTTGGCATTTGTTAACTAACCCCATTTCTGGCACCTGCGGGATATCCAACTACCAATCAGAGGACGAGTATACTGCGCTGCAACCCTCTCTGTCCTATTATACGGTTGTGAGATGAAGTCGCTGAAAATGGACAACATAAAGAGGTTACAGGTTTTTGACCACAGGTAACTTTGTACCACTTCTCATGTACAGTGGAATCCCCATGTGAGTTGTGCCAAGGTTAAGCGAGGGATACTTGGCAAGACATACAAACCAGTCAGTGAGGTTATGTTATTCCATCAACTGAGATGACTAGGACGTATGTTGTATATGCCAAGCTACAGCCTACCTCGACGAGTCATGTTAGTGGGAGTTGGGTTAGATGGGAAGAGGATTCAGCGTAACCAAACCAAGACGTGGCGCCAGTCGATGATCTCTGACTGTTTGTCTGTGTTATGTAGGAAGATGTACACTACTTCCCTGGGCTCCTTCAAGTAACAGGAATCAATGGCTAAAGACTTTTAGTGACATAGGTGAAAAAAGGTCACGATAGCGAAGATATATATTTACTCTTTGACATTTTCGAAAGTCTGAACTTTTTCAATAACCTTCATATTCTATTAATTGTTTTTTCTCCCGTACACTTTTGTCTACTTTCATATCACCCTTTTTTATCTATTAATTTTTTGCATGCTGTTGTAAAGTGTAACAACTTGAACAAATGAACTTCTATTCAAGGTTCTACGTTGGTTTCTTTCTCTATATATGTTACATGTTTGCGATAAGTATAAAAAACGATTGTACAACTTTAGAAAATAACGTTGTCGCCAGACAGAATTTCCTTCTCTGAATTGTTTTTAGTTCTCGACATCTGTAGAATAAGCGTTCCATCATCCCTATTGCATATACATATTAGGTGTTGATCTCATCAACAAAGAATCGATAAGTAATCTTTACCTTTAAGTAAATATACTGAAAGTCGGATGACTATCTGAATATGATGATGAGTAGGAATTTATGCTCAAAACGTCATCCAGTAAATAATACTTTATCACTGTATTATATATCAAACAAACAAAACTTAATATGGAATTACTGGCTAAATTTTAATTTTGCATTTCAAGTTAGCCAACGTACAATTCTCACTCTTTCCAAAATGACACTGGAATATGGCATCTTCAGAACGAATAAGATTCAATGACATCATGACTTGAGCACGAGGTACGGACTGAAGATAGAAGAAATAAAATAACCATTAAAATATGATATATTTAACAATTTACTCCAGATAATAATAGTGATATGTAATGTTTTCAAGATAGCATTCATTATGAACTGTCATCAGTTGGAGAACCACTGAACAGCTGCTTCGTCCTAGTATGAGACTCTTCAGCAGTGAGGTTTCTCGAAGTTTTAACTGGAAGTTGTGACAAGTGGGACAAACCAAGTCGGAAGTGAGAAAAAATACTCAACGATAGCAGGTATACCGCGAACTGACAGAAGTAGGAAAATGTAGACCATTGGATTCCGTCCCAGTGGCTCAATGGTAACGGGCTAGTGGCGAAACCTGAGGGATCTGGATTCAACTTTTGGCTAGGTCATGGGTGTGCGCTGCTAAGGAGTCCCTGGATAGGAAGAAACAGATGTCCACCATGGCTCTCAGGTTGCCAGTGTTGCTCTAATTGATGTCCGTCTGTGATAAATACCTCCTTGAAATCAATAAATCCCCATAAACCTCCGTTTTAGAAAAGTAATGTTGTTAGTTCACTTTACTAGATTCGATTGTGCATCGCCAACCCTCACCTTCACCCCCCCCCCCGCCCAATATCCCCCTAATAGAGAGCGATAATGAATGATATAATCGACATAATCAGTGGATTACTCAGATCTGGCAGGTGAAATCTATAGATTAGCATGAGTAGTTTCTAACTACTCAAGTTGTTCAGTAGAACCTGAGGTCAGTAGTTTTTTTTATATTGTGACCAGTTCAACAGGATTCTCTGGAGACAGGCACCATTCGATCAAAGTGTGCCATTAATAACAAAGATTTGAGTAAAATACTAAACTTGGCAACTCTGAAATAATATCATTATGGTGAGTAGAAAAAACAGAATTGACTTGAATAAAACTATATGTGTACCTTTAAGGCAAAAACACTGAAACCTTACAATTAATCCTTCATAAGTAATCAATTTCATTTAAATGGAAAGAAATTGTCCCAACTACATTTTCGTTAGCATCATATCCAAAAGTACACAATTGTATCAATCTAGTGTAAACCGCTTGCTTTCATATGACAAATCAACTTTTATCGGTTAAAATACAGCAATCCCATAAAGAATAGACATATTTTAGTAATCATAAATGACACCCATAATTTAATGCAATAACAAAGTAATTTTTGCAGAATCAGATAAGACATAATTTACATGAACGTTTAAATGACTCATGTAATTCTTCCCGGGTGACTTTAAAGGCCACCCTAGCAATGATCGGAAACAACTAAATAGGTTTTTCTATTTTGGTCGAAAGGTCAAATTTTATAAGATAGAGAAGTCTGACTGGTTGTTTCAGTTGTTGTTAGAGTGGCCTTTAAAGTCACTCATTCCCCCCACAGAGAGAGAGAGACAGAGTATTTGTCGTAAACAGTTTACACAAAACCGGCTAACAATAGTGACTTAGGGATGATTAAAAATGTACTCCCGCCCGCGGCGGCCGCTACCGCCGCCACCTCCAACCACCACCATACCTAGATTTCTAACTTTATGGCTAATAGTGAGTTTCTATCGTTTATTGATACAGTACATCTCTTTCGTAATAGGTCTACTGACTGCTGACTCATCTGAGTATGCTATTATCCATGGAGTTTCTGTCAATTAAAACCACTTTCATCATCTCCCTTGTTGAGTTTATGTATGCATTCATTTACACACAACAGATATTTGCTATGTCCCTTCACCTTCAACAGATTAAACGCCATCCATCTTGTCATACTTGAATCTATGTCTGCAGCTGATACGTTTTTACATCATAGTTATTGCTAAAACAGTTTTCTTTCATGACTATGTCTCGTGACAGATCCCCAACTAAAAAGTAATGCCGAAATTATAATTTTCTTGTGGTGATGGCTAGCAGTGGGATCCACGACGTGCTAGCCACCAACAAGTAAATTATAACAAGTATCAAGGCATATAAGTTGATAGACCACAACCAATTCGATCCACCACGACAATGGGAAATTAAAAGTGTCAATAAATAATGAAGTTACTGTCAAAGTTACCGCAGGTAATCAGGATAACTGGAACATATATCACGTCGTGGTAATGGAGTAATTCTAATAACTTATGATTCGCTTGAAAGCTTTTTTTTCCCTAATGCCAACAATTAAAGCTTTCTAACAGGTTGTACTGCTAAATGCGTATTGTGAGAAAGATAATTATATAAATATTCTGCACAATATTGTCAACACTAGTTACCCGTAATGCTTCAAAATCAGAGTTTTTCCACTTGATGATGCCAAGATCAATTTCAGATGGAATCAGCTGCTGTTGTTCAGGTGATAACACTAAATTGGAGCGTTCAATTTCTGAAAGCTATAGGAAGAAGAAAGGGAATTAAACAAATGAGAAAAAAAAATAGAGATTTTAGAATATTAACTCAGTAAAGTGGACCAGATAAACAATATACAGAAGAAAACTTGACGTTATAATCAGTGTAATAATAATCTTTATTAATAATGCTTATACTAGACCAGCCTACGACTAGTACTACCACATGAAAACTATAACCTTATGGGGATGAATCTAGTCTCGGCATGATTGATTCAATGTCACTCTTAATATTTTCAGATGTTGTGCAAACCCACTAATAATTTGTTCTATTCTCAGGAAAGGACAAAAACAAGTGGTACATCGTTACTTTTAACCAATTCATACTAGATACTAAGATGGATATCACTTATTTCCATATAGTCTACACAAATCAGGATGTCATCAAACGAAAAGATTTCCACCAGCACCTTAGAAAAATAACGCAATCAAATTAAAGTACTCTGACAGAGCACTTGATGAAGCACAAACTATTATTATTATCACAATCTAAAACGTATACCTAGTATAACATGGGAAACGAGAAGTGTGTCATACAAAATAATATAACTACAGTAGGAATGAAATGAGAATATAGAAAAGAAGCAGAGGTGGGTCATTAAATTAGCAGTCGTACACACACACACACATTTGAAGAAGTTTTTCCCAATTTCATCTTGCTTCTCAGTACTAGAAGAAACAAGAGAGTTGCAGCATGACCACCATACTGGTTTCGATTCTGAGTCATGTCTATGATCACCTATATAGCCACTGAGTCACATGATCTGTCGGATCCCATCCAAAGAGTTATTGAACAAAAATAGATGTTAGCTATCCTTCTAGGGCGCCACAACACCTACTAACCATTTCCCCGTTTCTTCCAACTAGTCCCAAGTTGAACAAGACATAGAATTAAGTTACTGGGAGTTATATCTAAGTGTTTAAGAATTCGGAACAAGCATAATTCCATTACCATCAACCTCACCTACCAGTCGTTTAGAAGGTTACTAATAACATTCTTGGGTCAACTCCCACCCAGCGCCAAAAAAAGTTCCGATTTCAAACTAGGACTTCAGAGAAATATTACCCGAGGTCAGATAATTACAAACAAATTCCAACCCGATGGTTCACACATTTCTTAATACATTTCGAAATGATATTCCATCCACAAAATGCAACATAATTCAGAAACGTAAGTGTATATTAGTCTTTGATTATAATTACTGATCAGAAAAAAAGAATGACCCGAATTCGTATTCATAAGTGAAGAAGGATTGTTTGTTATTTTCACTGATTTATAAAGCCCAGGGCAAAAATATAACAAAAGTAATTAGAACGACGAGGAATTCCAATAAGAACTATATTATCATTCTTGTATTATACATATGAATGTTTTTATACGTTACATTCATAATGTCGTGCCTTGTTCAAGATGATTTTCATCACAAGTTGATATCACTCAAACAAAAACTGAAAAACGCAGAATACTGGGCTTGCATTTCACACAATTAGATGAATCCTACATTGACATCTAAAGCGTTGGAATCGATCCTAGAAATCGAGATTTTCTACCTCGAAAATTCCCATCACTTTATGCAATACGTTTATATACTACTGTTCACTTGTGAGTAGTTCATGTTTAAAGATGGAAAATGTCTTCGACAGATAAATGAGAAACATTTGTCTAAGACCTAAACTCTAAACAATTTACATCCCATGCATTTAATACAATACAAAATGATTATTACCAAGAGAATACACACTTCATGCGATGAAATATAACGTTTACCGTTTCTTGATATAGTGAAAAATGCCTTAATGGTTTATTTATATAAGAAAGATGTCTAAGAGAAAACATAAATCCAGGTAATTCTGTAGTAATACGAGTGTCGTAGGAGAAAATGAACGCCGAATGTGATGGTATAATCAAAATAGTTACTAGTATAACTCCAGCATGCTTCAATGGAATAAAACAAGGATTTTCTGCAACTTTCACCGTGTAAGCCATCCCTTCTCCATCACAAGATTCAATTCTACTGAAACTCTAAGTTCGATACCACTTTTAGGCTTCTTATAAGAACCCGTGGCAAGTTACCATCAAACCACAGATTTTCAACCTTCTGGTTAGCGTTATGCAACTTTAGACTGTGTAACCATATTATCCGAGATTCAATTTCAGCAGTGAAGTGTAGGATAAACCAATTTAAAAGTGAAGAAAGCTGATTAATGATAGTCTAATAGCGGTACGCACTCACCTCTTCAATAAGATACAGTCTATCAATAATACGTGACTGAAGAGATTTAATCCATGCCTGAATCTCACCGAAAGGCTCACTTTGATCAGATTTTAAAGATGACTGATCATTAGATTTAGCATCCGGCAACCGGTCTGGGAAACAATTTATCCCTGAAAGTTGTTGAGCCCAAGAATATGGTCGTCCAATGGATTCACATGCATTCCATACAAGAGATTTTTGACAGTCAGGTAGAAATAAAATAGGCATATCAGAACTACAATCATTGAAACCAAGCTGATCACAAGACCATGGTAAACTCGACAAAAGTTGTTCAGAATTAAGCAGGGTGCTAAAAGAAAACAAGGAAAAAAAGTCAGTACAACAAGACCGAATCCAGTTACAAGAAGACTGCGAATAGATACTATCACAAGTAGACATGCTAAAAGGAATTCATAAAAAGATTATTACTTTATTGCTATCAAGTTAAACTCAAAATAGGTATTTTAAAGGTACTTAGGTGTAAACTTAAGAGGATACATGAAACACAGAAGCATTTCACAACCAGCTGCTCTTGAAAATGGAGCAGCTAAGGATGCAACTTGGGAAAGAACTGACGCATTCATCAGGGACTGCTAACTGTACTCATAACGATACAATGTGACGTTATTTCTGATTTTCTTATGTAGTTAACGTTCTTACTTGTTTTTTTATCCTTTTTTTATTTCATCAACATGTGGTTGTGATTTCCAAATTTAGATACTCAACCTTTAAACATCAATTGCTAACAAATCCAAAACCCGCTCCACTTACTGAGGTTTAAGCAGTTAACACATAGTAGAAATTATTTCTACCCTAGTCGAAAAGAAAATCGAAGTTGAAATTCACCCTTGTTTACATTCATGCAGTAGGTAAAGAGAAGCATCCCTTGTGTGAGGGCTAATGACACTACCTGACTGCCCACACCTCAGTAGGCCGAGTGATGCTTGAAAGTTGAAAGTCAACTCTTTAAAACAGTGAGATGCATGTCCGCTTGCACCCTAGTGCATGAACGTGTAAATTTATGTTGAATGCTAGTATAGTCATTATTATTACCGTCCTTATAATGCGGATTTCCCTCTCTATCTGCCCCCTTGCTTTCTCTGAACTGCTTAGAGATAAATAAACAAGAACTGAAACATCATCAGTTCACCTACTACGGTATTTTGTCAGTTTGTTATCTCCTTAACAGATGATAAAATACACACAGTTTACTTCTGAAACTTCCAATGACCACATCGGGACTATCACATGGTTATTGATATCTACATTTGTTATCAATCGATTTCTGGGGTATTTTTAAAGCTTTCAATGGCTCTCCAAATGATGCCAGTCCGTGATGAATACTACCTTAAAAATATATAAATATCTTGACAATATTTTGCTAATCAGATGAATAAACCTGAGAAGCAAACATTAATTTTGATAAAATCTACTCACCATTGAAATGTGATATTTCGATTATCTAGTATACCTGTGACAGATGATACTTTTGCTGCTTATTCAACGTTTCTTTATTAAATGTTTCAACAGCTATTGCTGAAGAGCTTACCAACTTCAATAAAACAAAGCTCTACATTCAAATTTTTTAATTGTAGATAATAATCAACCACTCTCTTACGCCTAAATGAACTTGAGCAACCAGGTAGTATCATATACAGTCTGACGTAATAAGTGTACTAGCGGTTATGTAACTCAACCCTGAACTTGCTTATGAACTCGGCTATGAGCAAGACAAGAGTCTTCAAGGTTACTTGACTTTTACTCCAGTGAGTAGACAACACACTAAATCACTCCAACTATGTGAGTGCAAATAACCAGAGAACAGAAAATTCTACAACGTTACTAAAAAACAGTAAATCTTTGTTCATAATTATCTTTATTAATACAGTAACTTTTGTCCTACACAATCTCTCTCTCTTGTGTATGAATGAGTCTATCTATCTCACAATTCATCACTACTTATCAAGTGTATTTAGTTCAGTGTACTGTGTTATTGCATCAATAAAAACGTACTCCATCCGGTGGGCAGTTATTCATATCACGCGACTAAGAAACTCTACAAACGTCTAATATTAATCAACCGTGAGTAAGAAATAGTTTATCATTATTAATATTACTGTTATCATTACTATCAGTATTACTCCGTAAGCTATCTGTAAAATAGTTATCAGTTCACATTAATTAAATGCTTAAGCTTCCCATTTATCATTAAACAAAATTATAAATAGAACTCCACTCTTTCAACAATAACTACTAACATGAATACGGAAACCAAGAACGATATTACACGTGAAAAATAAATTTCACTAGTTTCATAATAATATAAATAATATCCAGTTAATATTAAACTCACTTTCCAGTTTTGATCGAAAAATTGGATTACTTTTATCAAATGGAAACTGTAATCTAACTGTTACCAAATTTAGATTCAATATCCAGGCAAATGACAAGTTTATCTTGAAACCGTATTCACTCAGTGATATATCTATATATAATAGAAGTTTTATATAATTTATATATCTTAATAATTAGCAATATTCATTAATGTACATAATATTGAAAACTTAAGTTACTCTAAATATAACTAACCAAAAGAATACTGGATTCGAATAACTTCATGGATTATAAGTTAGCATATGTGAGTCTAGGGAAAATACCTTGTAGAATAAAGATGTGATGAATTGATACAGCTTTTCGAATGCCATAATATTAAAAAGTAAGGACAGATAGTAAATATTTCATGTTTTCAGAGAGAAAGACAACGCTCTAAAGTTAACCTATTGTCTCCTCTCCATCTAATCTCAATCCACAGAAAGGAAGTGTTGGTCACATCTACAGATTTCTTTATACAATGAAAAAGCTATATGTGACATAGATAATTGATCAGCAAAAATCTTGAAGTACAACTTGTGATTAGATGGCCATTGATAATGATTGATAGTATCCGTAGGCAGTCAACCTACTGACCGACAACTACATAAACCCTGAAACGTAACATGCCTACTTTCTTTTGTGATCACGAATCAGGGTCATAACAAGTAGCGATCATTGTAATGTTGCTTCTACAAAGTAGAATGCACCCTAAATGAATCTATGTCTCACCAGCATCTACTGAGGCGTAAGTAAACGTGAAGTATCACTAGGCCTTCACACTATATCAGCGACTGACAGTTTTCTAAACGAACCTGTAGAAGACCTTTGAGTTTCATTCAAGCCAATATCATGAGTGCTGTTGAAAAACAACACAATGACGTGGTTGAAAAGACAAACTTTCGTAAACAGTAGTGATTGGTATTTCACACGTGTTTAGTAGTCGCTTATCTACCGCCTGCCTCGATGTGTAATGCTAGAGGAAGTTGGATTACGTTGAAACAGCGCTCAAGGTGGCCAGACCAAGACGTAGCACCAGTCGATGAAGTCTCTCACTGTCGGTCTCAGCCGTGTAGAGATGGGTAGACTAGTTGGTTGGGGTCCCAGAGACTATAGAAATCACTGGTTGAGGACTCTTGGTGACATGACTGAAAACTGGTCACAATGGTGGAGATGTATCCACTCTTTGAAGCCTAAAGCTTAAATGTTTTAAATAACCTTCACTTTTAAATTCCTTCTCCATTCATACACCGTTGTCTACCTAGATACCAGTCTTTCATATCTACTTTTTCTTTGCACACTAGTGTGAAGTAAGACTTGAACCGACGCACTTATATGAGAGGTCCTACGTTAATTTTGTCTATCTGTCTACTGAAACAGAAATGAAACAGACTGTAGGCATAACTCAATAAATCTCAAATGAACCAGAAAAACACTATAAGTTTTCTGCAGACGATATATGCTCTGTTGAAGAATATAGAGAAAAACAATAATGTAATAAACATCGACTCAGTAGAAAGTTTTAGAACTGATGCATTTTTTGCATGGTTCAACCTCCTTTCATCAGTTTAACATACTGAATAGCTGGTTTAACACAACACAGATGATGAAACATTTCTTAGTCGAAAATAATCTTTTCTCACTTATCACATAAATGTAATCCATGTTTTTAAAAAGCATCCTAATTTCACGATGCAACTCCATGAAAACTGATATAAATCTTCAAACAAGGTGAGTCACAAAGAAGCGTATCAAGCAAGAAATACGCGTTTACAACTTTCAAATGGATGTATATATCAAAAAAGAATAGTCGGATTTCCGGAGACCTGATGCATGAAAACAGATTTCCAGGTAAACCATTACAACGAAACTGAAGGCGGAAATTCCCTCAGATATCACATGCACGTTGGTGCAGCAGGCAATAAGCCACCCCTACTGTATATGAGACTTGATACTACCCAGCTGTTCATGCCTCAGTAGATCGAGTGGAATTCCGACTTGATAAATGCGTAAACCGACCGGCCACAGAACCAAAAGTTGAATTTCTTAAGTGAGTGTTCAGCAGACAATGAATTATATGTACATCAACTAACATAGTGCCAATCGTTCTACTATGTGGAAACAACACTGTCAGAGATATCAAGAGCTTCTTTAGTCATGTCAATCCATCCATTATCACCATTAAGCATGTACCGTGATTTACACATGTCATTTGAACAGTCTCAAGTATCCAAACACTAAACACTTATGATGGTCTCTAAACTAAGTTCCCATACATTCCACAAATACTTCATATCAACATTTATCATACCCACAATTATGTACATCTCACTGCCATGTAAACATCACAACAAGGTGAACATTCCTTTCATACTAGCCCGATTCCCAATATTCAAACAACGTATACTTACAAAACTTCACATATCAATACTATTGTCACCATCAGCTCTGAATAGAATAATCCGAATTTCCTTCCACTCACGGAGTCATTCCGTGAACTAACTAAAAACATCAAATTCAGCTATAACACTCACCAACTGACATTCTGTCAGTCACATCTCCAGTCAACAACCCTCTACCATAACCAATAATGCGTTTCTTCGGCCAAAAACCCTGCATCCTAGTATAAATCTTGTCATTAGTATTCTCCAACCAGATCCCACTCACAACTACCACCGCACCACCACCAATCGTCAGAGCCAGGAGTCAGTGGTGCCATATTTTGCTATGATCCCCTCACACAAACAAATGTAGCACAAATTATATCTACCGTGAGGTCGAACCATATACCGAACCCAACAGATTAGGCCGAGATGCAAAGTATGGTATTTTCCCAGATGTTTTGTAGATATGACCATATACTACTGAATACAAATACAGTCAACAATTCGGAAACATTATCAAAGTTTGAATTTAACAAGACTTTTATTGAAAGTGAAGTTAGTGAAGTCCGTAGACCCCAGGCAAGTTAGTGAATTTGAAGTGAAGTACAACTGTCTCACTTCAAATTCATTAACTTTCCTGGGACCATATGAAGCAAATGAAAACAAAAGACATGGTCGCACCTGAAGTTTTGGGAACAGAGACTGTTAGCAAGACGGTTAGAGGATGCAAATTTATTGTTTTCTCAGTGGCAGATTCCTTATCCATTTCATCTAAATCTTCGTTTGCATGACGCTTCTTTTTCTATTATAGAGATAAAATGATTATAAGTAAATGATAATATTAACAGAAACTAGCAATAATTAACATGACTGACACAAATAAAACGAGGGATATCTTGTACAGGATTTCATATTTGAATAATCATTATCCATAGACGTGACTACAAGTTCATTCGTTCATCTCAGCAAAACCTTTGCAACAGGAAACAATAAAATATTCGAGAATCCGGTAAAGTAGGACAAAAGCTAACTGTAAAACCATGTAATATATTTTGTATTAAATATTAAGCTAAAAATAGAAAACCTAGGTTTCCTGACATTACAAAGATATTCTTTTATAAGCGTGAGTTAACAAATCTCAGACAGATTAAACCAACCTAGAACCGCATGCACAAGTGCATCGGTTCAAGTTGCCACACTTCACAGCAGCATGCGAAGAACAGGTTCACTTTAACACTATTCTACCTCTTATACAGTTGAAGTGTTTATTTTACTGTTTGTAAAGTAGCAAATACTACTGGTTTCTTTTTTAAATCAACTGCGGTAAAAGACCGATGTCTGCACATATTTCAAAAACTAGGAATTTCTATGCATCATTTAGACAGACATCTGTAGGTAGTTTTTCGCCTACTTGAGATCGTACATTGTAATTTTTTATATAAAATCTGATCGAACTTCAAACTGCTTAACAGTTCCATTGATTGTTTCAAGAAAATGATGAGTTGGAGGTGAGTGAGAGCTTACCCGTTCTTTCTGGATTGAAGAAAAACCAACGTTGATTTAGCAAGGAATAATAATTATTACTCTTAGCACAAATTAAAAATTGCCCATTTGAAACTGAAATTTGCACAAATGAAATGAAGCGGCTATAGGTTTTCGACCACAGGTTTCTTCGCAGTATATTCGCATATGGTGAATCCCCATGTGAGTAACAGCCAGGTCAGGTGAAGGGTACTAGCCAAGACAAATAAGTCAACCAATAAAGTTATGAGACGGCTTGGACATGTACTGCGCACGCTGAGCAACCGCCTATCTTAACGTGCAATGCTAGGAGAAGTTGGATTAGATTGGAAGAGGGTTCAAGATAGCCAAACCAAGGAGTGGTATCAGTCCACGAAGTCCATGACTGTTGGTCCGAGCCATGCTAGGAGGTGTACACTACACGACCCGGGTCCCCAAGACGATAGGAATATGTGATTGGGGACTCTTGGTGAAATGGCTGAAAATCAATCACAATAGCCCAAATGCATTTACTCGTTAACGTCTTCCACAGCTTAAATATTTTCAATTACCTTCATTTACAAACTCTTTCTCCTCCTATACAATTTTGTCCACTTTGATATCAGTATTTTTCTATACACTGGTTCTTCGCATGCTAATGTGACGTGCGGCAACTTGACCCGATGCACTTGTGTGCGAGGTTCTACGTTGATTTCTTCTCTGTCTATCTATCCATCTGTTTGTATCTGACAAACGTAGATAGGTGGAATGGGTTTTTAAAGTGTAATCCACTGGTTGAAAGTTGAATCTGACTCAATGAGTGCCACTCACCTATTCAGCGCACCGATGGTATGGATAAATCTGATTTTCAACTTTAATTTGAATATTAAAGTAGACTCTAGACCAAAAAGCCCTTCAACTTCATGAGTTCTTTTTTTATCTACATCTCATTAATATTTCCTGTTTATTGCTGAAGAGACACATTATATTGTCAGCTTGTAGAATGTTTCATTCACTAATTAGACATTGGAAAGTAATCAATCTCACGTTGCCTAATTCTGAGAGCTGAGTAAATTTTACCAGTTATTTCGCAATGTGCTCACCAAGCTAGGAGACTCATTGTTATAATGCACTTTCACTGATGCTATATGGTTGGAGGCAATCAGCATGAAACCCTACTTGGCCTATTTCGCGCCTGCTGACACTCTTCGGTAAAGTGTATTTGCAACCCTGAGGTAATTGACATCTGAGATTCAAACCCGTGTCACTTAGTGCTGGAGTCAGACACATTACCACTGAGCTATTCAAGGAGTCCCAACCAAAAAGTCAGCAGTTGAGTAGCTGGAGTATTGAGAAAAATGAGAAGAGATAGGTGGTAAGTATTAAGTTATAAGAGAAAATGAAATACAACTCCACAAAGCTTTCAACAACCAGTTTGAACCCTTCAAGATAGAATAAAAAAGATGGGAAATGTATTCCAATGAACAAGATGCGACCTACCAATAAACGATACCAGGAAGTTTAGCTTTTTATGAAACATACACAAAGAGAAACTGACTCTACGTGGAATAATACGTTTCAACATGAATCAGTATCCATTGACATACGTTATTTTGACCTACTGTGCAACTCCTTTAATTGACGTCCTGCGATTATCAGAAACCAAATAAAATTTAGGTATATCACTCAAGTTTCGCCCAACTGAATGCACTGTGATAATTCAAACAGACGATTAGACACCACTAAACATGATAACTACCACCACAGTAGGCTTGAAAGCATTACTTTCTACCCACACCTAATAAACTACGATTTAACTGTCATGGTATGTATACATAAGCATTACTAACGCGATTTTTATTTCCGTCTCCATCTTCCAAATCAGAATCTTCAGCTTCTTGAGGGGAAGACTGTGACTCTGACTGCTCCATTGACTGATTAACAGCTTTGGCCATTTCTGAATCCCCTTCGACAGACACGGAAAGTTCTGATTCTGTTCCTGGAAAGAAATATATCAATTTAATAAATAAAAGGCAAATATATCAAACACTAAATAATCAGCTATAAAAATCCCTCTTACAATAATGGTAACTTAATAAAAAATAATGAACACCAAACTTCACCTAAAGTTAACTACCCCTATCTCCCTCCAGAAGACAAAACCAGAACAATCACGCCTTGTGGTGAGCACTTTAGCGGTGAAACACTGAAGTCAGAATCAAATCGACAACACTCTTATTACAATCAATTTGTGATAGTGAAGACTTCCATCTGATATACATTCGTATTTCACCATATCCAAATGAGCTGACGATGAAGGACAGATCAAGTATGATCACGAAGTAAATTTTAATAAACTGGACAAATCAAAACACTTTTGTAGCGAAACCATACAACTTTCATCTAAGCTCATGAGCAATTTGACTACATGAGTTATGAACTGTAGCTCCATACCGTAGAGATGTGGTCCACTAGCCTGGGTCAATCACGGCGTTGAGAATTCGAACTCCATTCCACCTGCTAAGGGTTTATAAAACCGAGTAACATTGACATATACACACACTGTAATAAGTTTGAAGGTATCTCGACTAACAATGGACTGGATGGTTTAAAAAAACCTGAGCACCGAGTTAGTATGATTCATTGTATAAGGTGTATTTTTACCTGTGTAATCCCGGCGTAGTATGATAGAACAAATAACAAAATAAATAAATATTTTGTATTTGTTTATTTTGTTATTTGTTTTAACATATTACGCCGGGATTACACAATTAAAAACACACCTTATACAATGAACACACTGTAATAGTTGTGGCTCATTTTCTACTATATAAACCCGTATGCAATAAGTAAGTAATTTTGATTTAAACCGAAGAAATACAAATGATAACACCCTTAACATGAACACACTCGTGAAGGCATATCACCCGTATACCAAGCGAATGTATCTGTAATGCAGATGATCAATTCCTTCCATCAAGTTCTTATCAGCCACCCAATATTTTATGTTTCTTTCAATTGCGCAACTCGAAAAGTGGGGTAGAATTAAAAATGCAGTACAAAAAGTTGTCCATATACAACATGGATAATTTATTTCGCCACTATTTATTTGGATCCTAAAAATAACAGCTTCATAAGAGATTGAAATTTAATCTCATTCAATTTTATTTACGGTTTTTGTTATGAGTTAACAACTTGGTAGGATCTAAGCCAACGAGCGTTGATCTACATTTTTGAACAAGACAATATCGAATATCGGATAGAAATGATCAATGTTATATTTACAAATATCACGAAGAAAATAGACTATCACACAGAAATAAAGCAGACCGATATAAACCATGAGTCATCACAATAAATAAACAATTAAACAGGACTAAATGTTTCCTACTACTACTGCTGTTGCACTGAATATCAATAATTACTGATGAACTACAAACATTGTAGGATGCAGTGAATTCTAAGTAAGGACAAATATAACCATAAATAGGAATAAAATACCTACGTGGGATGCTCGTGTGACAACGACACACTCCAGTAACACAATAAGACAAGTAAAAAAGTTAACAAACGGAGAAAGAGAAGTGGTGGTATTGACTTATTCGTCTAATGGACAGTGCTTTCATGTCTGGAGTGACAGACATTAAGTTCAAATCTGTGCCAACACTTAGATAAATATAATTACAACCAAACGAATGGTTTCTGACGGGACAAATAGATAGTCCAAACTCCCACTCCTATTTGACAAGTGATATTAGGAACTGATTGCTTTTTGATGCATAAAAATAATTAATAAAACAAAGGTTGCTAGTAAAACTAAATGACGATGTAAGAAAATGAGTCGCCTAAGCTACAGCTGGGTGAGTAACCGTTGTTAATGTATCGTTGGGAACGAAGTCGATCCTGCAAACCATTCAGAAAACCAGTAATTCGCTCATGTAAATTATGCGATCGAGTTATTTGAACACAAGCCAACAGATAAGTCGATGAAATTTATACAATGAATACTAACATATACTTCTATGTACAACAGACAAACTGGCTTTTTGTACGTTCACTGTTTCAAACTAATCAGGTTACAACCAACACGTGACAAACCTTTTTCACCTACCTGACATGGATATGTATGACTTTAAGAGAGAGTACAGAATATACAGCGGTGAAGGTAAAAGAAAGGCCAGTCTATGTTGTTCATTGTCATTTGTGAATGGTAAATCCATTAGCTCTTGAACAATCAAAGTGCTCTAAGGAAAAAACAATTAATAAACTCAACTATGAGAAATAACCAACTTACTTCAACGACGTCCTTTAGTTTTGGTCCAAAACTTGCTAAGTAATTTCGTTTCTTCTTAATTGTTTGCGAGGTAGATTCAACTGCATTCTTCAACTTGTCACAAGAGTCAGATAAACTTAAGACAAAAATGAATTTTAGAAAATGAGGAACATTACGATTTCCTTTGTTCAAGCTCCCAATAGAGACGCTCTAACGTTTCTTGATGCTGTGACAAACTTCCAACCTACAAATGGTAAGCGGCACTATGAAGAAAATACTTTGCGGCCAGTTTTCTCATAAAATTCCTCCGCTGGAATTAGTTTTATATCTTCATGTCGTGATCTATTCTCCCGTAAGCAAATAATGTAAATTATAACCTACCTAAAGTCTAGACACGTCTGAATTTCATTTTCGAGATGAGCAACTTCATATAAAAGATTTTGTAAACCTAAATGTAACTGATCCACTTTGTTCTTATTCTATTTTAATATAGGAAATAAAGGATACAATACACATAGCACTTTTTAATTACCTCAGCTGTTATTTCTCGAGCTTTTCGAATTCGAAACTGTGTCCTCCTGTTCAATTCTTTTAAAGACATCATCAAAAGAGCGAAATGAGAAGCATTAACCTAACAGCATAACGATAATCAGTTGGGTACGTTTTAACTACTTTTTCTTGAGACTTTTTACGTTGCCATGTATTTTTTATTGTTTCACGTAATGCCTCACAATATTCCCTGAATTGCAAAAGATCATGAGCACTTCCATCTAATTTCACGGAGTTCTCTTCATCATAAAATGAATTAGTTGTCTTGGAACTCTGTACAGTAAAATCATTTAAATACTGTTATTAAAATATATACCTCTTCATTTGGAATGACTTCATCTTGCAATTTCGCCTTCGTTGACATTGTCCTACGATGCGATAAAGAGGTTAATGATTCTTTTTACAGCTAAGGACACTATTCACTTAATAAACATCTCGGTGCACCCAAAAACTGTAAAGAATAACAGCATAAGGATATAAGCGCCTCTACGAATCATTCGATAGATATTTGGACTTTCTTTAACAGAATTCAAACAGATTCTGTCTGTAGATAGTGATGTTGATGTTTATTTAAGATGGCGACTTTCAACATTTCCTATATATATATATATATATATATATATATATATATATATATATATATATATATATACATATATATATATATATATATATATATATATATATATATAAGAGAGAGAGATAAATGTTAACTGGGTTACATAGAAGCCGGTACTGTTTCGTCAGGGGGAAAGCCATATTGCTTTCAAAAAAACTTCCTTTGAAAGGTCCTAAAACTGCCAAACAGCCACTTTTGTTAACAATCTTAACCTTTTAATCTCAATAATAAGTGCAACTGTAGTATGTTTCCTATGTCGATTTTGATCCATAAGCGTTAGAACTCGAAGTCAGACATCCCCGAAGTGAAAGCACAGGTCACATTTTACTAGTTACCTCCAACAGTCGGTGAAACCTATGAATTTGTTCTGCATTCACCACTACCCTACCTAACTGCAGAACATTTCTGGGAATTTGATAGCTTTATAAGAGACTACTGCAACTTTTCGGTCACATTTAGTGGATAAAACAATGAACGAATTACAACCAAAGAAAGAAAACATATCAAAATATTGTTTTGACTTTAGAGATAGATTGTTATCAACTTATCCTCCAAGCTATCCCTAGGACCTTGGGCGGAAATCCAGCCTGCAATCATAAGACTCTGATGAAGTAGTTATAACTTCATTTGCAAGAATGGGATTCTAAGGACTACTAACTTTTAGCGAGAATAAAGCGTAATTGCGACTGATATCTAATCCGTAACCTTATAATCACCGTGTTTTATTTGATTAAGAAAGTAGAAGTGATAATTTATAACATGTTTTCATTGAAATATATCACTTGAAACAAACAAACACGGTCATCTTTAACAAACTATCTCTGAAAAGTGTTCTAGACACACAATGCTTTGAAAGTGACGCAATGTTAAAAACCGGCGCCTTTTTTCAACACCAAAAACGTGATGACTAGCATTAGCAATGCAATTAATATCTTGGTAATTAAGCGTTTTACTACTTTCACACTTACCTAATGATTGCGCATAAGAATATTCCCTTCATTATTTAAAAGTGCTTAAACGAAAGATATCACCTTACTTAAATGGAAAATAATCTGCCTAGAGAGGTGTAGATTTCCTTTGCATCATTTTTTTTCATGTAGAATCCTCCTTGTGCACCTTTACACACTGCAACGAATCAATAATATTCTATGGGGTGAGGAAACTTCGCAGTTTTGACTAAAGTTGGAGGTTGTAACCTTCTGCACATTTTGTGGCATTAATGACATTTTCTGCGTCGAACAAGGGATACATATGCTGAATTAAGGTTTCCTAATGGTTCGGGATATGGATACTCATGATCGCCTTTCGTACCAATATTAAGTTACCAAACAGCTCGCCATAGTTGGTACTACATAAGTTATACATGTACAATGCTTGGCCTGCACAGATTTACTGTTTGATTGATACCGAACAGGAAAAGCCAAAAAAGCCCTTTTCCAAACCCATCTTGCACATTGATATGTATATGTGATGAACAACAGGAGATTAGCCGAATCAGATGTTTCGCTGATGAGGTCCAATCCTCGGAATAGCGATTTGAGTCGCATAAGCGAAACGGAGTTAAAATCGCTCTAAGAGGAAAAAATATTGTGATTCTGTTGCTAGACAAACGATGGACAGCGCCTGTATAATTAAGAATAGAATGCACCTAAAAGGCAAAAGAATAAAGTAACAAAAGTAACAATATGCTGAAACTTACGGTCCAATTCAATAAAAAGCTGAACGAAAAGGAATGGCATAAACTGAACACACTTTGTAAAAAATGGTAAGTCAAAAAGCTAGACAGGTTAAAATGAGACCAAGCGGACCCGCAACTTTACTTTTCGATGGAGACACGAAAATTTAATAACCAGATGCACCTTTCTGATCAGCTGTTTCACCTACTGGAACCCCGACATGCAACATATCAAAGTACTTGACAGAAAAAATGGGCCATCTCGTCAGCGATGCGTTCAGTAACTCAGTTCCTAAACTAATTCAATAGTCAAAATGTATGGCGAAAAGACAGGCCGACGCACTTTTTAAGTGAACAGATCATAATCTCGCAAAAGAAAATACCCCAATCACGCTACAAAATGGTTTCCATTTACAAGCTAATATCGGCAGCGAACTACTGGAACGGATAGCTGTTTATAGGTATCTGCTTATCCACATAATTCTTAGATATCTTGACTAAAAATGTTGTGATAAAAAGCTTAAAACTCAGGTAAAAAGGAAAACAGCTCAAGCCAGCTGGAGCCTCTATTGCGACAGTAGCAATCCATTGCCGCTCTAGAAAAGTTGTGTAACAACTTTTGTACCCGGTCTTCCAAACCAATAGTTATACAAAAAGTTTCGACAAGAGAGCTTATTTCAAGTAAATCAAGTAAAAACTGACTGCGAAGGCTGACAGAAGAATCATCTCCTCATGCATAGAGAATATATCACAAAAAACAGCTCGTTTGCCGCATGTGATCGAAATCGCAGTGTTGCATAAACCAATTAAATCACTATACTACATTCGACCGGGATGACTTCCACATGCCACGACCTCTGAACCGTTAATTTTTTCTATCTTAAGCACTGCACCAATTTTACCCCGTTTAAGTTGTCCGATCATGTCTCTAAATAGCACTTACTACTCGCACGGGTTTTAGAAAAGTTACCAAACTACCGCCGTGAATTTAACAAGGTTATGAAGACACAACATCGTGGTAGATGGCGGCGCGCACGAAATGTAAAAACTGCATTAAATGACACTAGCCAAAATACTGTCCTCGAGTTTCAAGTCTCTGCTGAGTAGGGAGAACTGCTCACAATGCCTCCGATGTTCGAAAGTTCATCGTAATGTTAGTCCAGTAACACTGAAAGAAAGTTAGTTGCGCAACCTGTGACGGCAGTTCACTTTCATCAGACGAGCCTCAGCGGTTTCCAACTGCACAAGTTGTTCATTAGTAGTATGTAACACTTTTGCATCAGAGATTGCACCTCCGATATCGGCTGAGCGGTTTTCGCCGGAAACCTTGTCGGCACCACAGCTGGCCAGTTGAGAACTGTGATCACAAAACGTGCAATTTGTAAGTCATTTGCAAATCGGCCACTCTATTTCAAGTTTGGTGTAGTTCACCAAAGAAATGTAGTGGGGGTGTAGCTATCTTTGCCAACGCCATATGGCGCTCACCGAGCTATATCTGCCCCGTGTATTCCGATGACAATGTTGAATGCATGACTAAGAACTGTGAGTGGCATGTACATCTAAGCTGCAGCCTGGTATATCTGGAAGTATTAAGGATGACCAATGCATCAGAAATCCACAACCCCCGCAATCCAATGGATTACATAAACTATAGAGAAAAATAGCCCCTCCACCTCCTTGCCAAAGATCTCTGTCACTTCTAAAGAAAGTATATCTGGCAAGCTTTCCCCGCATATCATCAAAATGATCCAGCAGCCATGTCCCGGGTACTCATGATACGGACAGATTTCAGAAGGACAGAAAATAATGCATCCAGGAAATCTCATTGTTAATAAGCCAGGAAATAGTTTGAATAAGGCAAAAAAGTAGAAGCACAATTTATGCGAAAGTTTGAAAAGCGAGAGGCCAAAACGTATGCGTATCACGTGTGAATTTTATCCGAAAGAGTCGTAGTAGATACAAAGAAAGCTGGCTTATATGCTGGCAGACTGTTGTTTCGAGACTAATAATGGTAGAGCTATGAGTTCAGACAGAGGAATGAATTCGAAGGCTGAAAGGAGAAGATTGAAGGGAATGCGCTGATAAGTGAGGATGTGAAATATCATTCAGGGTAAAGGCAGTTGGCCATTTCAACTTTCAGCCAAGTTAAGATACTGTAGCGTCACAAACCTCCCCGGAATCAGTGGCCCAGGTTTTGAAGAGATTCAACATCGATGCCGACCTCTCTAGCTTTATGGGTTTCGCTAAGCTGAAGGCACACGATCAAGCATCCACGTTATTCGGCACGCTGTCATACTATGTTGTACCGACCTTGCTCGACCCCCAGCCAGCTAGTTGGAACCCATTGGTATTTCGGCACGACCTCGGTAATATAACATTCCACATTCCTACGCTATTGTGTTATTCCTTGGTCTCGTATCCATGGTACATTACAAGTCCAAATAAGTAGTGACCGGCCTCTACGTCCGTCAAGTTCGCACCAGGACGTTTCCCAGATTGGTGAGCCCGTTCCATTTTATACCTGAATATCGTTTTCACTTCAATAACCTCTATGTATCCATACACAACTCTTTTCGGTGTCCGGCTATACTCCGAAGCTTTTCCATATTAAACCTGCAACGAACACCATCTAGCTCCTGCCAACCGGCCAGACAATGCGGAAACGTTGTTTCTGTACCCTGAACCAGATGTCCGGGAACAGGAAGTGACAGATTCACATTCTCGATTTCTTGCTGTCCCACGTTCACCACCACGGGAATTAGACAAGCATGTTCGGGAGCATATGTTCAGCCCTAAGGTAAGTGATCCCTATGCACTCCTTAAAGCTGTACTCCCGAAAAAAGTGACCCCACGAACCGCCAGCGCTAAGACGAAGTGCTTCATAATATTTAGCTGGGGAACAACTCGGCTACTGGTGTCTTAACATGCATGCTATAGGTTATGGGTCCACGAACTTCGATCGTGGCCTTTTCCAAGAATTGTTTTGCTCGAAGCCACCACGACCGGCGCAAGCTGTGTTAGTGGCGCTTCACTGGCTTCCATCTGAAGACTTGGCAGCCTCAGCAGTTAA